GGGAGGAAGGCAGACTGCATGTGTTTGACCGGGTCAACCAAGGACTGGGCATTGTTTCTAAGATGAATGGCCCACGACTATGTTTATTTGACTGTTTTCTAAAGGGCCAGGCATTGTTTCTAAGCTGAATGGTCTTGTTGTTATGTTTATTTCTGAGGGTTTGCCTGGTTGAAGGGTTTTATGTTTATTTCATTCTCAGGGAGGATTTTTGGTCTAAGGCTAACCATTGTTTCTAAGTTGAATGGTTTAGCCTGAAGACCACACACATAAGTACAAACTAAGTATAAAAGAAAGTACTTTACTTATATTTGCATGTGAACTGGCAGTTGGCCATTGTTTCCAAGCCAAATGGTCCAGCGCTAAGCCATATCATTAAGAAGAGAAGGGAAATTACAGAGTATAATTGGAAGTAGTCTGGGCAAGCTGAACATTGTTTCCAAGTCGAATGGTTCAGTCCCCTGCCCATATTTAATTTTTCTTTTGAGAACAAAAGTCATAATATTATTAAACTTTGGATATTAAAAAGTTCAGGGCGACTAGACATTGTTTCTAAGATGAATGGCCTAGCCATATGCCCAAAGAAGAGAAAAGTAGTTATGCAACCTGATCGTGTATATCTTAAAGGCATGCTAGACATTGTTTCTAAGTTGAATGGTCTAGCACTACGCCAAATGTAAGTGGGTATAAGGGTTGAATTACTTGGGGATTTATGAACTAACTTATATAAATTGACTTTGGGATGGTGAAAGTACTTACCTTTGTGGTTTGGCCTGCATGTGACTGAGTGAGATTACTACTTGGTCTGAGTTTCAGTTTGATAGGTAGTTGCTTTAGACGCTCGCCACATGCTAGAGCCATAGGAGTTAGTTTCAATTCCTGCATTTTCTGAGCTAAGTTTTTTTTACTTAGGTCGATCTCCGCATTTTCTGGGATCTTTTATTATACTTAGTCTTGTATAAATCTTGGTAAGCCACTTTCTCTACGGGAAGCGCTGCCGAAATTTCTACAAAACCAAGGAGTTGGTCAGATTTTGTCTTTTCAAAGTTCAGTTTGTCTGACTTTTATATATGACTTAGTAAAAATCTCGAAAGTCTCCTTTTCTAAAAGGAGTGCTGCCCAAGTTTTTGCTAATTCAGGGAGTTAGATAAAATTGGACCTTGAGAAGTCGAAGTCATTTTAAATTTTGAACTTGGCTTTGTATAAATTTTGGTAAGATACTTTCTCTACGGGAAGCGTTGCCGAAATTTCTGCAAATCCAAGGAGTTAGTCAAAATTTGACTTTTCAAAAGTTCAACTTGTCTAATTTTGATATATGGCTTAGTAAAAATCTGGGAAGTCTCCTTTTCTAAAGGGACTGCTGCCCAAATTTTTGCTAATTCAGGGAGTTAAACAAAATTTGACTTTGGAAGTTTGCATATTATTTCTGTTTTTTTATTTTTAGGCTGATATAAATTCTGAAAAGGCACTTTTCCTACGGGAAGCGCTGCCGAAATTTTCTTAGATTAAAGGAGATATATTATATTTTCACAGGTGGCGACTCTGGCGATCCACTCTGTATGGGGGAGATGTTGCGGTAGGTCTACCTTTCTTTGGGCACTGGCTTAGAGGTAGACCTAGGCTTGGCTATCAAGAGAGTCTTCAGTGAGAACGTGTCATGGGGATTTGATCTCCATACATTGACGATTTAGCTTGGACATTGACTTGTCTTATGATACAGGCCTTCTTTGGATATTCGATCCAAGATTTGGACTAGTTTTAGCTTGATTCTGCGAGGATAATTTTTTGTTATCACTGATAACAGGTCGGTTGGTTGGTCGCCGACTCGTCGGCTCACGACACAACTTTGCTTGCACCTGTACCTCAGCTTGAAAGCCTTAGCCCTGAGATTTGATATGTTTCTTTGAAGGTTTTAACCAGATTTCTTTTAATGGTCATTATAAAGAACTGATGGGTTTTTATGGAGAGTTGGAAAATGGTTGAGGTCTGAGTGTGTGAGGCGTGGTGTGAGTTACAGGGAACAGTAAAGTTGACCACATTGGTGTATGGCAATGTGGCTATTGTGTGTGTCTGTGTTTTATGCAGGTTAGTATTTTGGAACTTGGTATATGGGCCATACTTTGAAGACAGTGCGAATGACAACCATGTGTCGCACGATCTGCATACCTGATGGGTTTAAGTTTCCCCCTTCCTTTATTTTATCTCGATATCTGGTTTGATATATGTTGGATGTTTATTTATTTTACTGATTGATTTTGCTTGTTAATTTTATGGTTGGACGTTGTAGTCCGTGACAACCGTCAAAGTCAAACCCCTTGACTTCTTTCCAGACCCTGGATGATAGACTTGGCCTCTAGCGCGATAAGAGACGATTGCCACCACAGGTATGAACCTGTGTACGACCCACTCTCCGCAGGGTGCAGAAGAGGGTGTGGTTTTCAACAGCACTTGGCGGTTGTCCAGCGTCGAGAGATCAATCCCTCAAGGCGCATATCAGCCGACACTTGAGTGTCGAATGCGACCCTCGAGATTAACGAGGACCGCATGAGTATGGGTACTATATAGTACGCCATCATTGCGACTGCTTGCGCTTGCTTGCATTGCGAGTTGATATGAGTTAGCCCTATGTCCGCGCGGTCTTATACTAAGTCTCGCGCGCGACGCCTATCCGATTTCCGCATCGGAAAGTTACGGGATGGCTACTAAGGGACTAGGAGTGTTGTCGCATTGTTTGTTCTCCATCGTTTTGCATATGTTTGTGTATGTGTGTGTGTTTTTATTTTTATGGTCTTTAGAGTGGTGTGTGTGTGGTGCGTGGGATGCATCCTAGTCGACCGGCGACGAGTCGCGCTTGGGACCTTAGCCCCCCGAGATGTCGGTTCGCGTGCGGGTCCGATAGAGGCGTAGTACCGCGTGTACCCCCTATGCTACAACGAACGAGAAACACCCTCGGCTGGTCCACCTCTGCGATTGCAGCTGATTAGCTTTCGTACTGTGGACTGGTAGCTCGGCGGGGATACGCCCACCGAAGGGAGGTGACAGCTCCCGTAAGGTGGAGGTAAGTCGTGCCTCGCGTANCCACCGAAGGGAGGTGACAGCTCCCGTAAGGTGGAGGTAAGTCGTGCCTCGCGTAGACCCTATCCTGTCGTAGGGGCTCGCGAGAGGTATGGCTGGCGCACTCGGCCGGAGTGGCTTGCGGAAGCTCCATGTATATTCACGACAAGGAACAGACCAGCTCCTGCGTGACGCGGCTGGGAGGGTCCCGCGCTGCCTTGTGCGGTGTCGGACCGATGCGCTCGACAGGTGGCGCTGTTGCCGGGGATAACGGTTGCCTGCCGCTGTCCCTGGTGGAACAACATCCGGGTATGGCAAAGTGAGAACTAGGCAAAAGAAGAAGTTTTCTTTGCACTTATATGGTCAATTGCTTGATATTTTGACTATCGTTGGAGATGTCTAAGGTGTGACTTAAGTGTGAAGCGCATATGCGCGGTTTGTTTAAGGAAGAAAGTGTTTGGCTATACACTTAAGAGCTCTGACGCATATAATAGTGATCCCAGTAAGCACCTTGTTATCCTAAGTATCTTTAAGATAATCGGGGGATACGTGGCATGTCTGGTGCAACCTTGGTTGAGTCGAGGCAGCGTCCGCATTGTTGGGTATGTCCACTACCGAAGCAAGCTCAGTTGATAACGGTCAACGCTACGAGGCTAGGGACTTATTACGTGAGTTATGTGCTAAGCTTGCTTTGGGATGTAAAGACATTAAACTGAGGCGTCTCCCCCTGGTCAGTAGAGTGTCGCTTTAAAGGAGGTTTCCTGATACATGAGCGACGTGGATGAGGGGTAGACTGATGGGTGCGAAGTGAGGGGTTTGATGACAAAGGTATTTCCTTGAGCCCAGACTGAGTTGTGGTACGATGGGTCGTGCAACTAATGTTGTGCCTAGACCCATTGATAGTATCGAGCCTGCAGGGCCAGTCTTATATAGTGCTGGCCCGTCCAAAAGGCTGCTCTTGCCAATGCCAAAACGTGCTAGACCCTAGTGTTGAAGTTCAAACAAAGGTTGTCTTGAAAATAGGCCCAAAATGGCCTGTGCTAAAACCCTGGTCTGGTGCCTAAGTTTCAGGGCAGGTCGATCTTACGAGGGTCTGAAAATGGCCCTCCGTTTCAGGCTGAAAAGACTTTGGGCCTGGAGGGGCTTTTTTTAGGCTGAAACGACACTACAATGGATAAAGACACAGTGTGATCAGGGTTACAATCCTCTGAGGGAACACAGCTCGAGAAGATCATGGATTCAGATTGTCAGATTCCAAAAAAAAAAAACAAGAAAGAAAAAATGGAAACATGGATTCGTCCTTGAAAACGGATGGATACATGAGGGCTACAATCATCTGAGGAAACACAGCTAGAGCAGATCACGGATTCCGCCCTGCCTCGTTGGCAGGGGACACAACACAAACAAAAGAGAAAAGAAAAAAAGAAAACAACAAGTTTCAGAATGCGACCATCTTTGTTGTAAGATGCATTCAAGACTGTGAGTACGGCCTCCTAGACTACCCTGCCCAACATCATTGCAGTACAAAGGCTTTTTTTTTTTCCTTTTCCTTTCGTGCACGGGCAAAATAAAACTACGATTTTTGGGACATTGCCGACCCTGTGTCCGACCCCCGAAAACTTCGGGGACTGGCCAGGACAACGTAATTTTCCAACAGTGGCGGAGGTACTGATGGTTTAATTAATTGCGACTAAACTCGATTAATTCACGATTGAATTAATCTCTTTTACTCGGAATTAATCACCCCTTTTCAAAATCATAAAATTTTACCCCGAACGTAAATCCGAATAAATTTCATCGAAATTTATTTTTTCTCGGAATTAATTATTCTTTTTCTTCATTTGGAAATTCCTGAAAATTTTGCTTTTGTATTTTTCTTGAAAAATACACTCGAGAATAAATTTCAAATAAGTTCAAATTAATTTATTCAAAATTAATTCTTGCTATGAGATTCTCTGCTACCTTCATTGCTAAATCACTTGATGACACTCTATTCTTGTAAATAGGAATTGTCCCCCCCATCTCCACATGCCACCACGCCAAATCAAGAACTCCCAACGCGCTGCCGTCGACGCCACCGCTGCTCCCACCGCCACCCTGCTGCGGCACCCTCCACATCCGTTCCGGCCGCGTCCTCCACCCCCTCTTCCCCCGACATGATCGCATCCTCCATCAACATGTCTGACATCAGCACCGACTCGGTCGATAGCATCGCCCGCAACCTCGCAGGCGAACAACCACCCGCCACCTCCAACCTCTCCGCCATCCTCCACCCACTCAACACCTTCCAAACCTCTCAGGACGACATAAAGGCCACCATGTTGTCCATATCCGATCGCGTCACCACGCTCGAAGGGGACAACCCCTCCATCACGGTCGTCACCACGGCTGCACCTCCCTCCTCCACAGCGCAAACCACTCCCTCCTCCACAGCCGCCTCTAGCAACACCCCCCCGCCGACCTCCTCCACTCCTGCCACCTCTACTACCACATCCACCAACCCTTCCTCCTCAACCTCCAACCACCGTTTCATTCCCCCCACCTCCTCCCTCATTCGGCGCATCCAACACACCGCCTCATTCCTCGCCCACCCACGTCACCCCTCTTCCCCCCCCGCACTCTCATACCCTTCCGCAACCCATCACAACGACCTCCACCATGCCCACCATCCGTCCCACCTATTTCCAAGTCACCTCCGGGGTTTACCCCGCATGGCCACAACTCCCCCCTAACTACCTCCTTGCTATGAATCCCCTGTGGTCGTGGTCGCCGCGGGCACGACCGCGGACCGCGGTCTCTGCCGCGAGGCCGCGGTCATGATCGCGGTCCGCGGTCATGAAAAAAAAAAAAAGAAGAAAAAAAACAATTCAGAAAAATCTGCAAAAAATAAATGTTATGCCCAAAACTAAACTGAACAACTTTTGCCTTGGGGTCATATCAAAATTCGTTACCAAATTTGAGATAAAAATAAAACAAACTCCTTTATTTTTCTTACTAAAAGAATAAAGTGAAGAACTTTTGCCTGAGGGATTTCTGTTTTTCATTTTTTTTAAAATTGAAAAAGAAGTCAAAAAATAAAACTAAAAATAGACAGTTGTAGAGCGCACAAAAACCTACAACCCCATATTTTTATTTTATTTTTTGGCCTATTATCCCAGGATTTAAGAATGTCGGGGTTTTCCGACCGCACTTGGCCGCGGGCGTCGCCCGCTGCGGTCGGGATGCTGACCGCGTGCGGTCAAATGGCCCGCGGTCACGACCGCGGGTGATACATAGCCTCCTTGAGGACAACAACCAACTCGACTACACCTGCCACGACACCACCCCTGATAACCTCAGCTTCAACACCCTCGCCCGGATCGTTCCCTCGGGCTGGGAAATCCCCCGTTCCTTCTGATCCATCGACATCATGTCCTTCTCCGGCCTGCCCCACGAGGACGTTTTCCTCTTCCTAACCCAACTCCAGAACTCTTTTCACCTCCCCGACATGCCCCTTGCTGACCTCCTCTCTCGCATGCTYCACCACGATCGACTCTTCCACCCCCACCACCAGCCCGCGCCCGCCCCCTCCCGCACCCGCTTTTTCCACCACATCACCCCTGAAGACACCACCTCCATCACTTCCTCGGACGAGTTCACCACACCTGACCCCGACGCATCTTCCGATTCACTCGACTCTTCATCCCTCACTTTCGAGAACTCAATGTCGTCCAATTCATGAGGATGGAGCGCAGAGATCGCAGCTCCTAACCATCCTCATCTACCCCACCCTCCCGCCTCAAGAAACTCGTCCCGAGAAGCGCACCTACCTCCAAGCAAAAGGGGGTTGCTTCCGTTGTCGCCAATTGGGGCACCAACAAACCAACTGCCCCAACGCCGCACAATTCACCCGCCAGTCCGCCTCCACTCGACCCGCAACCTCCGCATCACCGCCTTCGGCAAGCGCGGGTCCCTCCTCATCCTAAACACAGTCCCCAGGACATCGATCTGACATCGACAATTCATCTGCCTCCCCCCTCTCCGGTGACGCCCACTCCACCGAGCGACTCCCAGTCATCGCAAACGCCTCCCACTGCCCCATGCTCCTCTACCCTTCTTCCAAACCCATCCAATGTCACCTTCTCCGATGTTGTTGAGGAACAAGCCCGACACGATCGGCTTGTCCGCTTAGGCAACRAACAACRCCGCCTCAACACCATCATCTCCACCGCCAACTCATCTCGTTTCCACCTCAAATTCATCGCCGCCACCCTTGGTGCGTCTACAACTAAGTTTCGAGCCCTCCTCGACATTGGAGCAACCGGTAACTTCATCACCGACGCATGTGTCCTCAAAGTCGTTCCTACCTCTACCAGTTATGACTCCCCGATCACGATTCGCCTAGGGGACAAAGACACCGCTGTGGTAGTAGACCTCACGGTTCCCGAGACCACCATGACCGTCGGGACCCTCCGCAGCCAGGTCTCATTTGATGTCATGCACTTGATGTGCGACATCGTCTTAGGAACCTCGTGGCGGGACCGCTACATGCCATACGCATTCCACCCCAACTTCCTTCGCCTCACCAACCCCCCCAACACAACCATCGACATCCCCTATCTCCCATATCCGACCTCCCAAGGCTCCGTCACCCCGCACCATTCCTCCACATGGCTCACCTAAACCCCGACTCCGCCTACTAGTGTCGTGTCCTTGATCGCGAAAGTCCCGAGGACTTACTCCCGACGGACAAACCCGATCAAGCCCCCCCGTCCAACCCCGCCATCACCTCAATCCTCGACGAGTTCAAGGACGTCTTTCCTGAGTCCTTACCCGTCGGACTACCTCCGGATCGTGGCGTATCCCATACCATCGATTTGGAACCCACATTCTCCACCTTGCCACCCTCCATACCAACTCTCTGTCCCCGAAGCCAAAGAAATGAAGCGGCAACTCAGTGAACTCCTTGAAAAGGGTTCATTAAGCCAAGTCCATCCCCCTCGGAACCAGCTGCCTTTTCGTCAAGAAAGGTGGAACTTYGGAACTCCGCATGTGCACAGACTACTGCGCCTCCGGATCACGATCAAGAACAAGTACCCCCTCCCTCGGATTTCCGAGGTCCTTGATTCGTCTCCGTGGAGCCAAGTACTTTACCAAGATCGACCTTCGCAGTAGCGTCAACCAGATCCGTACCCGCGAGGAGGACACCCACAAGACCGCCTCCCGCTCTCGGTTCGGGCACTACGAGTTCCTCGTGATGCCATTCGGACTCACCAGTGCCCCCGCTACCTTCCAATCTATCATGAACCACATCTTCCGCAACCTCCTCAAAGTCTATGTCGTCGTCTACCTTGATGACATCCTTCTCTTCAGCCCCACCTTCGAGTCCCGCCTTCAGCACCTCCGCCAAGTCCTCTCGATCCTCTAAGAGCAAAAATTATACGCCAAGCTCAGCAAATGTACGTTTGCTGCGTCGAGCGTCGCATACCTCGGCCACATTGTCTTCGCTGAAGGCATCCGTATGGATCCCTCTAAGGTTACAGCCCTCGTCGAATACCCCCCACCCAAGACCCTTCTCCAACTTCGTTCCTTTCTTGGCCTTGCCAACCACTATCGCTCGTTCATTCGCAACTTTTCTGAGATCTCTTACCCCCTCAACAAACTCACACGCAAGGACAAGGCCTTCACTTGGAAAGATCGCCGCCAGCACGCCGTCGATCTACTCAAACAAACCATCACCACGACCCCCGTCCTCAAGATCGCCTACCCCACCCGCCACTTCTATGTCACCACTGATGCCTCCGACTTCGCCATTGGAGTCGTACTGTCCCAACATTTCCCTCGTCACACCGCCGACACCCCCTCCATCAAGAACTCCCCCACTCACCCCGAGGCTCCACCCGGCGAATACCCCATCGCCTTCGCATGGCGCCCGTACCTTGACGGGCAATACTTCGCCATCCGCACTGACAACACCATCGTCTCCTCCATCCTCTCCAAGAAAGATATCACTCCACGCCAAGCCCGCTGGCTAGACTTCCTTGCCTAGTTCACATTCACCATTTGCCATACCCCCGACAAAAGCAACCGCGTTGCGGATGAGAAAGTCTACGTCGCCATGACTCATATCCAACTCCTTCCATCACTCCATCACCGATACACCCAAGGCTACCAACAAGCTCCACGATCTTGACCCAGTCCCCGACTACTCCCTTCACGACAACCTTCTCTACATCGATACCAAAGGCACTCGCCGACTTTGCATCCCCGAAGCACGTGGTCTCCGTACTCAACTCTTGGCCGAGCACCACGACGCCAAGACCGCAGGACACCTCGGTTTCCAAAAAACCTTCGACACCATCTCCCGCTACTTCTACTGACCTTCCCTGCTCGCCGACRTCAAAGCATACATTCGCTCATGCCCCACGTGTCAAGTTGTCAACCCCTCAAACCGGGCAAAACCCGGCAAGCTCCAATCATTGCCCATCCCAACTCACCGGTGGCAGTCCATCTCCATGGACTTCATGTGCGGCCTCCCCAAGACCGACCGCGGGCATAATTGCATCTACGTCATTGTCTGCCGCTTGACCAAACGTGCCCACTTCATCCCTTGCACGACCTCGCTCAGTGCCAAAGACGTCGCCACACTCTTCTTCGACCATGTTGCTCGCCATCACGGCCTCCCCGAGAACATCATCAGTGACCGTGATACTCGCTCTCTCACAATTCTGGAAACACCTCTTCACGGCCTACGGAACCACGCTCAAGTATAGCACTGCATTCCATCCACATACCAATGGACAAACTGAGAAGATGAACGATACTCTCCAAAGAATCCTGCGGAAGTATTGTCATCCTCACCAACACGATTGGGATCAGTTGCTCACAGCCGCCGAGATTGCCTACAACAACGCCATCTGCCCTTCCACCGCCATGTCTCCATTCTACCTCGACCTTGGCTACCACCATCGCTTGCCCTCTGACTTCTTGCTTCCTTCGCAGCTTAACCCATCCACCCCCTACCCCTCTCTCAATGAATGGGTAGCAACAATGAACAGACTCCTGAGAGAAGCCTTCGAGGCCATTGAATGAACCCAAGAACAACAAGCCAACAAGACTAACAAACATAGACSMGACGTGTCATTCAAAGTAGGGGACAAAGTCTGGCTCTCCGCCAAACACTTTGAACCCGAACACGGCTTGTCCAAGAAACTCTCCAACAAATGGCTCGGTCCCTTCCCCATCAGTGAACAAACCTGCCCCGTCAACTACAAACTCCAACTTCCCCCCAACATGAGTCGTGTACACCCAGTCTTCCATGTCGAGTACCTAAAAGAATACCAGGAATCCCCGCCCCAGTTCGTCGACCGCCCATATCCTAGACCTCCACCAATCATGCTACCCACATACCCTGAATTCGTTGTCGAAACCATCATCGGCCGACTAACCACTCAGATATCTGATCATCCGGAACCAATCACCGAATACAAAGTCAAATGGACCGGATACCCCGACGAAGAATCTACATGGGAACCTCTCTCTAATCTTAAGAACGCCATGAAACTTGTCCGCGCCTATGATCGTGCTAATCCTATGTCCTAGATACCTATACAACTATGGCATGAACCCCCGCTAAACTCTCGCAACCCTGCTCTACACACACCCTTGAACCCAACCACCCTCCCCTTGACCCTGATTCTTGATGTCTGATCTGCCCTTACCTTCGCCTAGCCTTCTTCCATTTGTCCTCTCCACTACCTTGTCTCTCTTGTCCAATGCTTGTGGACCTACGTGACGCCGGCGATAAAGGATTTAATGGCAAGCGCATGAGAACAATGACCTGCTACCTCACTGTTCATGGAGATTATGCAGCTGGTTTGGCCACCATGCTGTTTCACCGGCCGGCATCCCGACCCGCAGACTTACTGGAGCAGCAACTTGCGAAATGGATACTTGCATCAGTCTGCGACTTACCTGCTTCAAATCAGACCTCATTGCAGTTCACGTACCGGACACTCCCTAGCACTTGGACTTTGGACATGTGGACTACTGCTACGCTTCTTGGACTTCTACCCGTTGCAGCCACTGAAGACCGCTTCCACCACCTACTCCAAAACCTGACCAAGACCGCTGCAGACCTCCTTTCAAGACACTCAGACACTTTGTTCCCACATGAGATGTTGCTTCTTCGGACTCAACCAGCCCTTGCATCCTGAACAAACATTTTCATTTTACTTTTTTTTTGACAACCTTGTAGAACATCATTAGCAGATCCCTGTTTCCCTAACCATGTTCCCCGTATCCAGTAGAACATCAATACGCATTCCCTGTTGCCCCTGACCATTGTTTCCCTTACCCACTAGAACATCAATAGAAATACCCTGTTTTCCTGAACACCATTTCCCTTACCCAGTAGAACATCAATAGAAGTTCCCTGTTCCCTGAACTTCATTCCCCCTTGACCTATAGCAAACCATGCAGTCCCCTAGTTCATCAGTAGGACAACCTTGTTCACCGGTACCAAACCCTGTTCCCTCTTACTCCCGCAGCCAATGCCACCCACATTATACCCCTCTTCCCTTTCGACTTGTTAACCAGCGATCGGCCCCGTCCCGTCCTTCACAGATTTCAGCATTGCTTCATGATTTTTGGCAGCCGGGACGTTGCCTTCTAGAGGGAGGGGATAGTGTAACGGACTCCGCCAGGGCTCGATCCCTGTTCTATCCTTTTGCTGTTTCGGCTGCATCCCGTTTTCGGCCTGGCACCCCTTGTCCTAACCCCTCCTTTGGTACCGTAGGATTTTGGACAACTGGCGCCATGCTGCAATTCGGGCGCCACTTTCAAATACCGCATTTTTCAGTTCTGCTCTCGGGGCCTTTGCAGAAATGCCCTTGGTACCGTACGTGTCACCGATACTTATACCGGCTCCCCGTACGATACGGGAACCAGTCTCGTACCAGTTTTTTGCTGTTGTACTTGTGCTTCGGTGTGACTTGCTTTGACATTGTGTTCGGAAATCCAAGACTTCGACTTTGCAACTTTGCCACTTTGTGTCTGCGTCTGTCGAGTCGTGTTGAGTCTGCGTCGAGTTGAGCGAGTGTGTGTGTGCTCTCCCTCTCTCCCTCTCTCTCCCAGCCTCGTTGCCTCAGCCCCGTCACAGCCGGGGTGTCGTCAACAATGAACCGCTTCTTCCATTCTCTCGTCAGATCTTCCCAGGAGATCTTCTTGTGTAGACGGTTGACTTGGACGTTGTAGATGGTTGCCATGTGGCTGAGCCAGATCTGGCATCCGCCCTTGACATTGAGGAACAGCGCCGAGATGAACAAGTATTCGAGGACCTCGTGAATCCCAAGCTCCGTTGTAAAACCGCCCGACCAGACGACTGGGTCCTGATGCGTATAGTCGTCAAACTTCTCGATACGGAACGTCGGCATCTTGTAGTGCTTTGATGCACTGGTGCTGTGATCGTTGTCGGGCGGCTGGTGCAGATGCCTGAGTTCGGTTTGCAAGGTGCCGAGCTGCTCGCTGATGGTGGCTGGTGTGGCGAAGAATTGCGACTACGTGGTCAACTCGTTCCTCCAATTGGCGGGTTGAGGGTGCACTGCTGGACTCGCCAGCATCTGGTCTTGGTGCGGCTTGCTCCAAGTCCTGTACACGGGAATGAAGTGCCCGTGTAGCATCCTCGTGCAGATCCTTGTGGTTCCTCACTGCCCGTTGGAGATTCGTCAGCTCCTGGTGCTGTTTCACCTGTTCCTGGTGTTGTTTCTCTAACTCGGACTGCAGGTGGTTACAAGTGTAAACCAACCGGGTCGTGAGTTTGGAGAGGAACTCCTTGTGCTGCTCCTCCGGTGTCGCGTCGTCGTTGTCCTCACCTGGTTCAAAATGCTAGAACTTGAGCCTTTCGACGTTGGCGGCTTCGTGCTACTGTAGCAGATCCTGGGCCTCCTTGCGGCGTGCCTGGGTATTTGCGTCTGCTTCGGCCTGAAGCCGCTGCTTTTCAGCTGTTGCCTCTGCTTCAGCCTGTAGGCGGGCTGCCTTGGCTGCCGCCTGGCGATGTACCTCCGCCTCAATCAGTGCGAGCTGAGCTAGAACCCGCTGATGGTACTCGTCAATGGACTTGCCGGCCAGTTGGCCTGTCATGCCCAATGATGAACCCGTCATGGTGGCGGGGCACTGCGGACGTTGGCACTGCTGCTGACGTGGCACTGCTACTGTTGTGGCACTGCTCACGTGGCACTGCTGCTGACGTGGCACTTACCAAACCGGAATGCAGGCAAAGGGTTAGGTGGGAGGGAAAACGCAGGAAGGTAACCAACCAAACTGTACTTTCCTCCCGGTCCTAATCAACAGAATAAAATAACATAAAAAATAAAAGAAGAGGATCACCCCCCCCCTTCTTTTTTTTTTTGTATATCTGTTGATCTGCCATGAGTGAGGTGCAAGGAAAATCAGCGATAGCGAACTTCAGAAGCCAAGCAGCATCATACACATGAGACCAGATAGTCGTGACCTCTAACCAAAAGCAGAATTGCATCACGAGTCCCACCAAATAAGAGCACAGCAAAAGCTCATAAGTGACAATGTTCGCATAGTCTCATCATCATCAACAAAGAACCAATGTCGACATCCTATCTGGCGCTCGGCGCCCAGACTACAAATGGCAGATCCTATCTAGCCTATCTACAATGCCGCTGATGACGTCAACAGCTCCCCGAAATACGAGCAGATCTCGGCCAATGCCGTTCACCTCAAGCACCAGGTATGTCTCTCGCCTCACTCANGCCAATGCCGTTCACCTCAAGCACCAGGTATGTCTCTCGCCTCACTCATAACCTCGATCCCCAACTCACAGATGCCACATGCACCCAAGGACCACAATGCGCCCCATCCAGCATACAGCAGCACAGCTCGGCTATGGCTGCCTGCTCCTTCCAGCTCGCCCGTGAGCGCGTGAGCGCTGGCCAGCGTATAGCGCAGCAGCGCTTGCGCAGCATGCAGCCAGTGCCCGAATGCTGAATGCGTGGGCAGACACTTTCCTAAATGGAAGTGGACTGCCTGCTTGCAGCAGCCTGGCTGCGCTGGGGCCCTGCCCAGAAGCTTCCGGTAGGCCCAGAGAGGCTGGGCCCCAGTCCAATAGAATCAGGCCCTGGGCCTGTGGTGGTTGCCCGTGTCCAACTGCCCGCAGCCTGTGTTCGGTCCATGTTGTGAATCTGGCCCAAGGCCTGCCTCAGTTACATTCGAAAGAGGCAGCCTGGGCCTGGGCGCTCTCAACCAACTGGCGCTGCGCCACTGCCTGAATTTCCCCAGTTGCGTGGTGACCCCAAAGATGGGCCTGTAGGCCTTGGTCGACCCTGCCTTCACTTAGGGCAGCCGACTATACTGAAAATAGGGCCCAGTAGGGCGTATCGAGGCCTTGAGCCTCGCATTCCCTCCTCCATACTTCGACAGTCCTCTGAGAAGTCCCATTACTCAATCTGGCGCTTGCCTTTCTGTAGCGACTTCTCATAGTGTGCGACGGCCTGTGGAGTGGTCTGCATCAGTTCCTCCCTGGTAAACCATTTGTCCTCCTTAGGATCAGTGTGATGTCTGAACCGAACGCGATACTACAGCTTCGGCTTAGGAGGACGTCCCCTGCCTGTTGGTCTTGGAACTGGCATTTCCCTGTGGTTCACGATGTCATCGATGTCCACCTCTCCATCCATGGTTGGGGGCAGCATTGAGCGACGAGAGGGAAACTGATCAGTTTCCTCGAAAGGTGCAAGTTTGGAGGCGTGAAAGACAGGGTAAGTGTGAAGATGACCAGGGATCCGGATTACATAAGATGGCCCATCCGGATCTCCCCCAACAACATCCAGAACCTCCCATGGTCCAAAGTACTGTGGCATGAGCTTGCGGGAGATCCCGTGCGCCTGTCCCAGTTCTGAGGACTTTACCCAGACTCTGTCCCCTACCTGAAATGTAGAAGGGTGGCGGTGTTTGTTCGCATACTCTATCATTGTCGCCTGTGACTTATGCATTTGTTCTACTGCCTGCTGCATCAGTTGTTCATAGCGATAGGCAAACTTAAGTATGCCCGGTGCAGCAGTTGGCTGGTTGTCAGGTAGTAGAAAGTCTAGGGGCAGTCTAGGCTTGAAAGTCAGTAGCAGACTGTTAGGACTTACCCCAGTGGCGCTGTGCACAGCGTTGTTGTACAGGCTGGCGATAAGAGCAAGTTTCTCATCCCAGTCCACCTGACTGGGCTTAATGTAATGCCGCAACAGGTGTTGTACAACGCGGTTCAGCTGCTCCGCTTGGCCATTTGCCTCTGGGTGGTTCCCAGAAGTCATCTGCAGCTGTGTTCCCTGTTCTGCAGCTGCATCCTTCCACAAATCACTAGTGAATCTGGCATCCCTGTCACTCACAATAAGCTTCCAAAGTCTCTGACCCAGTTCTCTATGAACAGTTTGATCACATACTCGGTCCTGGCTGTAGCAGGCATTGCAACTAATCTAGCATACTTACTAAACCTATCCACGATGACATAGATATATCTCATTCCACTCTTGCTGGTGACCAGCGTGTCCATGAAATCCATAGAAAGGGCTCTCACCGGGCCTTTCCGGAATCGGAAGGGGCTTGAGAAGCCCAAGAGGGGCCTGTGTACGGGGCTTGTCTCTCTGACACACCTGACAAGTCTCCACGTACAGCTTCTCATCTTTCATCATTGTGGGCCCCCAGAACTGCTGCAACAGATTCGCTGCAGTCGTCCTATACCCAAAATGCCCGGTGGCATCATGACATTCGCCTAAAACTAAACATCGCAAAGACTCCCGATTTGGAACACACAAGCGTTTATTTCCGGCCTTCTTAAGGAACAACAGGCCGTTGACCAACACAAACTCGTCAGCAGTTGCTTTGTCTTTTGCCTCGAGTCTGCGTATGATCTCGGCCATAAACGGATCCTCGCGATAGGCTTCCACCAAAGACTGCGTAACATCGTCCGCAAGCCCAAATTCAGTGACCAGCGCACCCAGGAAGTCTGGCCTACGCGACATCGCATCAGCAACCTTGTTGTACTCCCCCTTAATGTACTAGGGTTCGAAGTCATACTGCTCAATGACTTCGATCCAGCACTTCAGAGCGTCGGAGAGTACCGGTTGAATCTTCATCCATTCAGGGTCTCATGATCAGTCCTGACATAGAAGAAGCGACCTAGGAGGTAGTGCCTCCAATGGGTTAGCGCTTTGTAGATCGCATAGACCTCCTTCTCATAGGGGACTTAACCAACTTTTGAGAGGGCATCTTTTTGGACATGTACTCTACCAGCCTCAACTTCTTCCCCTCCTGCTGCGCAAGTACGGCATCAATGCCATATTGGCTGGCATCCGTAGTCACAACGAAAGGTTTGTCAGGATCAGGAAGTTTCAAGACCTCATGGTGTGTCAACGCATGCTTCAGATGTCTGAAAGCAGCCTCACACTTGTCTGTTCGTTTCCATGGGGTGTCAAGGCGTGTCAGGTCCGTCAAAGGGGCGGCCACTATGCTATAATTCTGAACAAAGTTGCGGTAGTAACCTGCCATCCCTAAGAAGGACCTCATCTTAGTCACAGACTAAGAGCGCGGCCAGTCACAAATGCTGGCCACCTTCGCATCATCGGGCTTCAATCCCTCCACGGAAATCTCATGTCTCAGGTACAAGATCCGGGTGCGTCCAAACTCACACTTCTCCCGGTTAATCTTGAACTGGTGCTGTCTGAGGAGGCTAAGGACTTTATCTAAGTGCGCTACATGCTCCTCGACAGTCCTACTAAAGATAAGTATGTCATCGAGGTACACAATGACAAACTTGACCAAGTAGTCATGAAATATCTGGTTCATTGCGTGTTGAAAGGTGTCAGGAGCATTGCAAAGGCCGAAAGGCATCACCACAAACTCGTACATACCGCACCTAGTCTGAAATGCGGTTTCGTGTTCATCCTCGGGCCGGATTGTCATCTGATTGTACCCAGACTTCAGATCTATCTTACTGAAGTACCGGCACCCTTGCACTCGGTCCAGCAAGTCATCGATGCGCGGTAGGGGCTTGACGTTCTTCACTGTGATGGCATTGAGGCCCCTATAGTCAATGCACATCCTCAAGGTCCCCCCCTTCTTTGGTACGAATAGTACAGGAGATCCGTAAGGGGAAACACACGCTGCCCAATGAGATCCTTGAGTTGCCGGCGAAGTGCATCGAGCTCACCTGGAGACATCCGATAGATCCTACCCTTCGGAATGCTGGACCCTGGGATAAACTCTATCGCGTGGACAACCTCCCTCTCAACAACCCCTGTCGGCTCTTCGAATAGATCAGGGTACCTAGCGACCACTCCCTCTATCTCTGGAGGCGTTTTCACCGCTCACCCTCTGGAGAGACGTGAACTAGGTACATACAGTGCTCCGGATATTGCTTATAATAATTATAAAACGCAGTCGCACACATGCACCCGTAGGACTCGATCAGACTACTAAGTATAAACTTTATACTTTCGCAGTCTGGTAGTTCCACCACAGTCAAACTGGGGTTGTGCAACCGAAAGATAGTACATACCCAACATAATATCCATTGGGAGGTCATCGCTAACAAGGAATGAGACTCGATGTCTCAGTTCCCCTCCCGCGTACGGGAAACGACACTCGATGTCTTTTCGGTAATCAATGACTACCATGCGCTGTTTGTTGGCACAGGTCGACTCAGGCGCTGCACTTGCCCCTGTAAACGTAGCTTCTCAACGCACGTTGTCGGAGGGCGCGATGTCCCGGCCCTCCTCTGTGTACCAAGTCCCTACTCGATACCAGGTCCTCGCTCTGATGCCGCGGCTCATTAAGCTGTTACCGAACCCCCGCAACTACGCTGATATACCGGAGTGGTGCCCCGACGCAGACCGGTCCTGTTGGTGCTTGCCCTCAGCAAAAGGGTGCGCCACAGGACTTTCCATTGGTCCACGCAGGCTCGGCGCCCTGCTGTACAGCAGAGCACTACCGGCCTGTGGCCGTGGTAGCCGCCGGGCTCGCTTTGGGACGCGAAGGTAAAGAGACCGGCGTTGTCTTTTCTACTGCGCGCCGAGTGCCCTCTAACCGGGTTATGGGTTAGGTGCGCAGGCTCGTTCATACAATCGAACAGAAAAGAGAGAAAAAGAAAAAGAAAGAAAAGGGAAAGAGGAAAAAGAAAAATAAATCGTCAGATCTAAACCCACGCTTTAGTTTGGGGAGAATCCAGTGGCTTCAGGCCATTACGACGTTACGATTTCCCTACTTTTCTTTGATATTATTACTATTATTATTATTATTATTATCTTGCCGATTTTTCAGACGCGGGTTTCTTTCGGTTCCTGTCACTTCGTAGGGAAGACCAACGGTTCGAATTTCGAGCGTGGCCGTGGTCTGTGGTCCAGACTGGCCTGACCTTTCATCTTGTACCGATCGATCGGGCGCCGCGCTGTAAGGTCCCAAAAGAGGAGCGACCCGCGGCCGCATTGGTAGGAGGCTTATCACCCCCCATGGAAGGTCATAAGCCCCCTCCTTACCATCGGACACGGGTACCCATCTGGGGTAGCCCGACGCCCTATTTTTGAAAAGCGGAAAGCGTCCGCTCGTATCTTGTTATGGGACCACTGTGTCGAGTCGGTAGTCCTGTCACTGGGGTCTGGGACTGACGGTAGCGCAAGGTTTAGTTCGTGCTTGACCGTTGGGTTCTGGACTCGGGCGCCTCTTAAATTGTTTAGTTTTAATTTAATTCACTATTTTAGACTTTTAAAATTCTTGAATCTGAAAAAAAAAAAAAAAGGTTTGAAAAGGACTGATCTGAGTCCTTCATTTAGAACGCAGGGATCGCGGCAGGGGGAGATCCTATAAAAGAAAGGGGGAGTTGAGTTTCAGGAAAAGGAGTATATGGGAGATCATGTCGTGCCGTGTATTGGCAAGTTGAGGTGTGAGAGGTGAGTGGCGAGGGGAAAGTGCGGTAGCCGTCTGCTAGTGCTCAGAGTGCTGGACTGCGGCTATTCCGAGACGGCTCGGTCTCGGCTCCCGAGTGAAGTGGACGCAGTCATGGTGCGGAGGAACGGGTTAAACGGCTATAGGCCGAGATGCATCCAGTCACTCTGCAGGTGGGAGCAAATGTCGGGAGATGGACCTACTGTGACGGCTATACTAGACTAAAGCTACAACAGATGAGAGGCAAAGCTAAAGATAAACGTAGAAGGCGGACCAGAAGAGAAGATGAGAGTGGACCCAGGCCTGCAGATGGGGATTAATGAGGCCAGGGACCGCGCAGAAAGGAGGTGCTTGCGGGACGGGGGCACAGACGAAATCAAGGTGACTGTCACTTATCTGGACGAGGGAACCTCCACGGACACGGTGGAACGGGAACAACAGCACTTGGACCGCGATACAGAGGCGGAGAGTGAGTCGAGCGACAGAGAGGCCACGACACAGTCCTGGCATGGACTGGACCAGATACGGAGGAACCACCCACTGGCAGGGTCGGTAGAGGGTGGCCTAAAGGCCAGTTCGGCTCCATGGAACTGAGGAAGGGTGACACGTGGTGGCATGAAGCAGGGAGTGAGGGTCAACAAAGAGAGGCTCGGGCGATGACACGGGTGCGATTTTGAGGCAGAAAGGAAGAGGGTCGACGACGGAGGGAGAGTGTGAGTGAGCGGGACACGAGTTCGCGAAAAGTAGTGGGCGCGAACTGCTACCCCCATGCGCTCACGAGCTGTCGAGAGCTGGTCTGGAGGCCAACTCGAGACGGCGGGAGAACTATGCTGCTGAGCGGCAAGAGACAGACAGGGGTCAACGGGCTACGAGGGCAAGACGGAAGACGAGACAGTTACGAGAGAGAAGTGGGAGAGAGGGGTTTGTTTGAGGGCGGAGACGAGGTGAGAGGTGGCTGCAAAACTGACGTCAACGCCGTCCTGGTTGGAGCAGCGAAAACGATACCTTCGCGGGGTCTGAGTAGCTGTTCTCAAAGAGCTGTACCGTCTTCTTTTTCTTTCCCTTTTTTTTTTTCTTTTTTTGGGCGAATAGGAGTTAGCACACATGGCATGAGTGACGTGTGTGCGAATATACAGTGGAAGTCAGACTCTCTAGAGGTGCGTGCGGGTGAAAGAAGAAGAGAAAGGGGGATGATTAGTGACTAGAGAGAGATCCTTAACGCAGGCGCGACTTCTTGGCTAACGTCAACTACTTCAACTACTTCGGGTGAGCCCATTTCGTGCGACTGTAAGGAGGTTCGGCTTACATGTCGACGATCGTATGTGCTCGGAGCTTGCCCCTCGAAGTGCGGAGTGCGAATGAGTGAGTGGCATTTCTGTCTGGTTACGTACTCCTCCTATCGTACTCGACCTTCTGTTGGCTACTCAAGT